TTATATATATATATATATTCAAGTCACCAAACTTACATGATTTGTTGATGCTCCATTGTCATCTTCTCTGTATACTTTTGTGTATCCTTCTCATACTTAAGAGGCTTGCGATTGAACTTTCCCGGACTCAGAAATCACGAGGCATTTCACCTCCAGACACTCATCTTAGTCCCCAGAATGACGATGGTCCAGAAACAAGATCAAAGAAACCTGGACAAAGCACTGAGGCACTGCTTGAGAGTGTTGCTGCTCCAGGATCAGCACGAGAGAGCAAGGAAGAGGAGGAAGAGAAGATCCAGCATGAAGACTTTAATGTAGGAATTCTTTTTCCTGCCTCTTTGTTTCTGTGTAGCTTCTTAGGATAGGATAGCGGTAGAAACATAGGTGGGCTTCTGACTTGTAAATTAGGATTTGTTACCCTCTGCATGAAAATAGGAGATAACACACTTGAGAGCTGGCAGCGAGAGGTGATGCTAGAGAGATTTTCCAGAGCAGAGCTAATAGGTGCCACCGCAAAAAAGTTTCCAAGTTGCAGCTGAAAAATAAAACTTATCTGTGTGCTACCAGCCTTTCTTGTGCTTTGGAAACCTCCTACTGCTGAATGGTAGTGTGACACTCTGCGGAGAGTGTTTCTGCTTTTGGTGAACGCATTGATGTGCAACTGAAATATTGCTTGTTTGTTAGTTTAACAGAAAGATTTGTTCTGTTTTTCCTGTAGCATGAGCTCTCTGATGGGGACTTAGACATAGACCTTGCTGGAGAAGACGAGGTGAACCACCTCGATGGTAGCAGCTCTTCCGCTAGTTCAACAGCAACCAGTAACACTGAAGAAAACGATATTGATGAAGAAACTATGTAAGTAATCTCAAAATGCCTTTCAGATCATCACCTTGTCTCCCAGGATAATCATCCTAATTCCAATGGAAACTGATTTATTTGCTCTCTCACAGTTATGGGCCAGGGGAGGGGCGGGGTTCCAGCGTAATGTGAGAGGTGTTTCGTGTGCTGGGATCAACATGATCTGATAAAGTTAATGCTAAACATCGAATTTTTGGTTAGTTACTGTCTCTTCATTAGTTTTAGTGTTATAGTCTGTCTTTGGCAAGTGATAGTCTGTGAAGGTTCTTTCCCAAAACACTATTACGAAATCCGTTTCTGTGCTGTGACAGAAGGGAGTTTTGGTATTAGGAAGTGTTGTAGTGATAATAAGGACAATTTCTTAAACTAGAGAGTTTAGGATTCTTAGATGAGATGATGTCAAATCCCAGAATCTTCATTAAAACATGAGAATGTGTTGGAACATCTACAAATATAGAAGATTACAGGATCGGATTTAGCAGTCTAGATGCGTATGGCACTTTTGGACTCTTGGTTCAGACATTTAATTAACACCCTTTAATTTGTTCAGTTTGTGTAGCCTGGAATGCACAGTGCCTCACGCTGTTTTCAAGGTATGTGCCATAACCTTTAACAAGAGCTGAAAAACTAATAACTGTATTTCTTTTTCCACCCCGAATCCTCTCTTAAGGTCTGGTGAAAATGATGTGGAATATAGCAGTAATATGGAGCTGGAAGAAGGAGATCTCATGGAGGATGCAGCAGCTGCTGCTACTCCTGGAGCATCAGGTATGAAAAACAGCCTTCAGAATTCCCATACGTGCAGAGCGCTGCTGGATTCCTTCCCCTGGTCTTCTTGGAAGCAACACCAAGCTGTGCGTTCTGCAGGCATTTCTATTTCTGGAAACGCGGCATCATGTGGTTTGTACTGATTATTGCAGTGTAGCAGAAACACTTCATTCGTTCAATAAAAAAGGGGGGGAATCTTCTGAACGTGCTAGTTTTAAAAATGATACATAAGTTCGGAGGGAGGCTTTTCTGCCTCTGAAACCCCTTCCATTCCGATGGAAAGTAGACTGACAAATTTTTAGTAATATCTGTGTGGCCTCTGAACGTGTGACATGTTCACTTGGGTTTTAGCACACTCTAAGTCCTGAAGCACATGGAGGGAGTGAAGAGTCGTTACAAGGCAAGCAGAAATTCATTTTAAATGCCGTAATGGAAAGGCACTCTAGGATCTCTTGCTGCCTAGAGATAATTATACCCCTCCCCGACTGCTTTTTGGCTTAAACATACAGTTAGAAGTTATATCTGATTAGTTAGAAGTATATCTGATTGCTTTCAGAATCTGTACATCTCTAAAATAATACTGATGTCAAGTTTCTTGCAATGGTTTAATTTCTAATCTGCTTGCAGAACTCTGTATTTACAGGGAATGATGCAGCGCCTGTGTCCTGTGTAACACACTTTTTTTTTTTCCTTGGGCCCCAGCCACAGCTACCCCTCTGCAAGTGGACGGCATTCGAGGCGGGGAGGAAGCGCCCTGGGCTCAACAGCCAGTAGCAGTTTACTAGACATAGATCCCTTAATTTTAATCCACTTGTTGGATCTAAAAGACAGAAATGGGATGGAAAACCTTTGGGGCCTTCAGCCACGTCCACCTGCCTCTCTTCTGCAGAACAGAGGTAACCGTACATCCTATATCAGATGACGTAATTCCAAGCTGACAGTGTCTCTGAGAATGCAGGGCCAGAGTTAGGAGCAGATTGGAGGAGAAAAGTGTGCCGAGCAGTCCTCTGTGCTGCTGGCTGGGCTGCCCTGTCCTCAGCCGTGCTCAGCGCGTGCTGCACCTTGCTGCCCGCTCTAACACATTCTTTGTCTTAATGGTCAACCTCAGCTTGAGAATGCCGGATGACTCAACTAAAACCAGAAGTGTCTGTCAGGGAGGGTCTTCTCAGCTTCTTGGGGGACGTGACTGAGCGGGCTGGCTGCTGCGTTGTGTAGCAACGTTGTAGGGATACAGTCAGCACAGTTTCTTTGACTACAACTGTGGGAGATGAATGAAAGGCCCTTTTCTAGAAGGGCTTAGCACTGAAAGACAAAACAACAGAAAACAGCTAGCTGCTGAGGAAGCAGTAACACCTCTCACTTCACACAGTTTGTGCACTTAGTGGCTGAGAGTACCAGGAGCACAACGTATACTAACAAGAAAATAAATCTCGGAATTTACTTTTGTATGAAAAGGGATTTTGAAACAGAACTAAAAATATGTGTGTAGTAGTAAGGCTGGAAAAGCACACGTGAGCAGTTTTGGAAGAAAAATGGATCAAAATGCCAGGAGCCATAATTAGTGGTGGTATTTAAATAAGTGAAGCCTTGGAAGAGTACTTGTGGTTCAGTTAGGACCCTCCGACTGAAAACAGCAATGAGCTTCATGGGCAGCAAAAGCAAGAGCTGGCAATTCTGGCACCGTGGCTATTGCTGAAGGTTTGTTTGCTACAAATAAACGCTTGCTTTTGCTGCAGCAATGACAGTAGTGCTATGGAATTTAAAAGCTAGCTCAGACTCTTTGTTCCTCTGTGATTAGCTTTTTTTAATGTAGTCATGTAAACACTCAGATGAATTTTCAGCTGAATGGAATCCATATTTCCAAAAATGGAAGTTGCTTCTGTAAGTACAAAAAGAGGAGGCAGCACATGAACTCTTAAGTCTGTTTTGCCTGGAAAAAAGCTAAGGCTAAAGGGCCTTAAGAGAGGGCATTGCCCTCCAAGCTGCACTGTTCAAGCAAAATAAAGTTCCTCCGTTGTGTGAAATGGTTTTCTGGTCATCTTTAGCTATTGGCTATGCAGCTGAAATTTCCTCTTTTGCTGAGGTTCCCTTAGTTTGACTGTTCCCAGGGCTAATTCAAGTCAGTCAACAGAGGGAGAGCTGCTGTTACATTTGGAGTTTGCCAGACTTCACCTCCTAAGGTGAAGGTTTCTAAGAGCCACTTGGCTCTAGTTTTGAATTTGCAGTGAAACACTCACAGAATTGAAAGCGCTTCAAATAAACATCAAAGTTGATCTAATTCTGGCTGAGCAGCACGTAGGCTTAGTCGGGTATTAGCTCCTCGACCTGATCTTCTTGTGTTAGGTACTTAAGGGAATTCCTTCCCTAGTTTCAGATTTCTCTGAGTTCCATTATGTTAACATGATATATCAGTGATATGAGAATCTTGTACATTTGCTCAACAAATTTCATGAAAACAACCGGGCTTGTGAACTTGAGCTTGTCTGGCAATCTCGAGTAGTAGCTCAGCTGCCCTCCGAATTCCAGCAGTAGTACCGGGAGCAGGTCTGGGGGCTTCTGCCATGGCGGGCAGGGAACATGAGCCTGCTGGCCCGGGAGTCGTGCAGCACTTGCAACCGAAATATTACAGTGCCCCACCAGTACAGAAGTGTGTTCCTCTGTCCCTCGTTGTCACAGCAGGGCAAGAGGTAGAATTCTCATCACTGTTAAAAAGATATGTGTGTGCTTAAGTTTTACTTACCTGTTGCGCTCTTTAACTTTTCCTTTGGCAAAGGATCATCCTATTCTATAAAAGATCGAGATCAGCGGAGACACCAGGCGATGTGGCGTGTGCCACCTGACTTGAAAATGCTGAAAAGACTTAAGACTCACATGGCTGAAGTTCAGAGCAAAATGTCTGATGTGAAGAACCAGCTGTCAGAAGTGAGAAGCAGCAATGCTGGCTCGTGTGGGGGACAGCCGACCTTCTTCTCCATTGAGCAAGGCGCTTTAGCTGCCTGTGGCACAGAAAGCTGCAGCAAGCTGCAAGAAATAGGAATGGAACTACTGACCAAGTCTTCTGTTACCAGCTGTTACATAAGGAATTGTAAGTGCGTTTAAATGTTACCCTTTGAGATGGCAGTTGTACGGGGGATTTATGTATCCAGGCATCTGGAGCTAGACCTTTTGTAGTTACTCAGGCTTAAGTTCAGCTGTAAGAATCCAGTAACGTAAAGCCTTTGAGTGAGTAAATGTTACTGAAACTGGTTTCGGTCCTTCTCACTAAGAGCACCAGAGTGGTGGTGGCAAATAGCGTGAGTCCCACACTGAACCTCCTGCTTTCCAGGTCCTTTGTTACCTTGGACTTGGCATTTAAGGGCTGAAGAGGAGGTTTTGGCTTCTTTGACCTTAATACTTTCATGGTGGCTGAAGAAATCTGTTTGATGGCTTCCTGAAGGAGGCCTTAGTGTAAAGGCAAGTGAACAACCCTTGTGTGCTCTGGGCTACATCCATCGTTAGCTCTAGCTCGCCGCTTGGGCAGGAAGGCTGTGGAAGGAGTTTTGTGTAGGATTGGAACGAGACTGAAATGGAGCTTAACTTCACTTAAGCATAAAGACAGAATGCTGCAGCAGTTTGGCTGAACACTTGTCACATCTTAAAATATTTTTTGCAGCTGCAAGTAAGAAAAGTAATTCACCGAAACCTGTTCGCTCTGGAGCAGCGGGTAGTATGTCTTTACGAAGAGCTGTGGACTGTGGGGAGAGCAGTCATCGGTTAAAGGGAGATGGTCAGGCTTCTGAAGGTAAATGAGGTCATCTTTACTTGCGTGGTGTGGTACATCTGTGCATTTGTTGTACAACAGCTTTTCAAGGAGTCTTACTTGGCAACAGAAGTTTCCCTGAAACTTGACTGGACCCTTTCTCGGGTCTAATTAATGTGCTTCTGCTGGGTTGTGAAACACGCCACATGGTTCACTTAGCAGAACGTCAAAATGTACGTTACACGTTACTTCTGGTCTCTCTGAAGATGTTTCAGGAGCTAACCTCATAATGCTTCCAGTTCCTCTCCCTCTTCCCTCAGGTGGCCTCGGGAGCTCCAAGCTGAGCAGCCGGCACCATTCTGCCCGGCCCCCGGCTGCCAGCAGCGCTGCTGAGGCGCCACCCAAGCCCGAGGAAAGACCTTGTGAAGGTTCAGATTCCGACGTGGGAGTTTCTGGCTTAAGTGGCTTAGCTGCTGCAGAGAAGACCAGAAAAGTTGGTGCTCTGGGGTAAGGGTTTTATTCTTTTCTCTTCTTGTTACCTCCTCCCCCACCTTCCCTTGATCTGGAAAGAAAAAATACCAATCTACTCAACCCAGGTGCTTGTCGCATGGAAGAGAAATTACTTTGAAGTTTACTTGGTTGCTGCTGTTCCCTCTGGATATCAATTTGTGGTTTTATAACTAGGTTACAAGTAGTCATTGTCTTTCCTTATTTTAAGTTTGATCACCTGTGGATGTAGTCTGAAACTTCGCTTTGAAAGGCAGGCCTGGCCTCTTTTCCCATTATCCCTTGCAATATATCCTCTAACTGAAAGTTATCACTTTGCATTTTCTCATTTAAGACAGTATTTTTCACTAAAAGGATTGGTTTCCATAGTTGGATTAAAGCTGAATTTCTAATGTGGGATTTTGTACGTCTCCTAATTCTTTCTTAAGATCGAATTCCAAAGGATGCCGTACAGAAGGCACGCAGTCAGGTGGTCTGGAAAACAACTCCGAACCTGGTGAGCTGCAGAGTGTGCTTTCTGAAGGTGCTTCTGCGGGGCCTGAAGAAGGTAAATTGGGTGTTGTGGAGGGCAAATGCAGTGTGACAGCACTCCAGACTATGAGGATTGCTTTCTGTAATGGAATTACCTTGAAGGGGAAAGAAGAAGAAAAAAAACTCCCAAGAAAAGCTGTTTTGATGGCTGTTCAACTTAGCTGCAACATCTGGCAGCTGTAGTGTAAATCTGAAGGAGGAGAGAACGTCTCTTGTGTCAGTGCTGCTGTCTGTGGAGAAATAGTGACGTCCTGATGCTGCAGGAGTGTGAAGGCCTGACAGGCAGTGTTACGTGGTGCCGTTTATTTCTCTGGACCAGGAGTTGCTTTTGTACCTTGTGATATGTGTCTTCAGGTCCTTGCTTTGATGTTCAGTTGCACGGCCTTGAAACTAATTGCTTATCTAGTTAAAACAGTAGCCAGTGACCTTGGCTTTTAGGTTCTTTCCCTGCAGGAAAAAAAACACTGGGAACTACCTCCACATCTGCGTCCACACTAGAATCTCCTCAGCATTTTAGTCGTGTTGGGTGTTGTGGTACATAAGCCAGTTGCCTTAGAGACTTGGAGGAAACTTTCCCCTCTCCCTTCCTGCATCCTTTCCATGCTGGAAAAAATATTATTGCTTTTTTTTCTTTTTTTTTTTTTTGAGAGTCCACGTAGAAGAGTTTTTCTTATCTTGCTAACTCTCCTGCCTTCCACCCCTGCACTAATTTGAATTTCAATGACTGAATTGTAGCGCAAAGCCTATATTAAGGTGCCAGCATCCATCTCTATCTGCAGTGTGCAATATTGTGTAGGAGTTGGCATTTACAGAAGGTCTCTCAGTGACAGAACTGAATTTCTGCTCTTAGTCACTGCAGCGTGATCGTGATGTGCTCCTGCAGTTCTCCTATTATAGCAGAGAGCCTGATAGGAAAATGTTTTTAAAAAAATGAAATACTTCATTGTTAAAAACCCCAGGAAACAAGTGTAACAATTTTTTTTCCTTTCAGAGGAAAAACTACAGTAGAGTTGGCACCTCACTTAACTACTTGCTTTTTCTTAGCAATGAGTATCAGCTCTTGGAAAGTAAAAGAACAGAGCAAACCTTTTTTTTTTTTTTTTTTTTGTCACCTGCAAAGCTATACAAAAGGGAGGATTCTGACTGCTGTCAGTGCAGTCTGGCAAAACAAAAGAAACCACCTTGACTATCAACAGCTATGCTGCTTGCTTTTTTCAGTTTTTTTTGGTAGGAAAAGCATATTTTTTGTGCATGAGACCTGAATAAGGTATTGCTGCTTGTAGGGACTGGTAGGTACATCTGCTCCATGGGTCAAACTGCTTCTTTACTGTTCCAAAAGCTTCCTTTATTTCCTGCCCTGACTGCAGAGGCAGGCTGAGCAGCTGGCAGGGGAGCGCAGCCTGGGGACACCCCAGTCTGTGCTGGGCTGGGGATGTGTCGGAAGCGCTCCTCTGGAGCTAAGCTGCAGGGCAAAATGAGGCTGTTTGCGAAGCTGGTACCCACCGTTGTGTCACATTCCTTAGTGCTTTGGTAAATACATTTAGCTCTGAACATGCTCCTTCTCTGTTGCTCCTTCTCTGTTGTTCCCCTGCCAGCTCTTGGTATTTGATATTGGTAACTCCGAGTCTGAAAAAGTGAATGCTCCAGCTACATGGGTCTTACTTGTACCATTTTCACCTTGTAGTTTTGGGGGTTTTTTTGTTGTTTATTCGTTTGTTTGTTTTGCAGCTGAGGTATGTCAGAAGCATGTCCTTCATCTCCTACCAGGAATGAGCAGTGACAGCGACATTGAATGTGACACAGAAAATGAGGAGCAGGAGGATGCCACCTCTACCTCAGAGGTGTTCAACCACGCCTTCTCGGTCCAGTCCTCAAGTGAAGGTAGAGTTGACCGTGTGAGCCCACCTTCCCAAACACCCGGGCGCCTGCCTCGGAGCTCCTGCGCTACAGGACGCCGCGAAAGCGGAGATACCTGATGGTGCTGTAGCTGTATCAAAGCTCGAGCAAGCGCCAGTAAGATTTGGAACTCCTCTCCTGGGATCCTAGTTGAAACCAAAGCAAAACGGGAGGGGAAACTCGTTCTAGCCTTGAGAAGTCAGTGTAGGTGAGTCTCCTGGGGAAGTGTTGGAAAACCTGTAGCTCTCGTTTTTCTGAATTGGGGCTCCCTGTGTACCAGGACAGTCACTGCAAGTAGGTAACTACTGCCTTAGATGCGGATTTGCATCTTAATTGGCAGGAATGTGTTTTGAGCACTTCAGTGGAGTGCCTTGTATTTCTTTGAAAAACTTTAACCTTGTGATGAAGTTAAAAGGTGTAAGGTGACAGCTGACAATAGGTGAAGTTGACTTTTGGCCTGAATAAGCATCCCACGCGGCGTTATGGCTCAGGAATTAAGAGTTTGCTGCTTTGCTGTACAACCGCAGCAGGCACTAAAACTTTGCAGCTCACCAGAGGAATCTAAACATCGTTCATATCTGTGCTTGACGGGGAGGTATCACATTTAAAACCATGGCAGTCATAGAATCATCGAATCATCCTACCTCTGTCAGGCACATCGGGTGCCAGTGTTTTAGGAACAAAGTACAACACAGCGGGCCTTGCAGGCAATGGAGCGTAAACTTGAACTGATTGTTCACCTGGGAAGGGTTACTTGGTTTTCCTTTGGTTTACTTTAGCCTCGGACCGGTGCTCAGCGTTCCCCGAGGGCGATCAAGTCGGGCCTGATGATCTCAGCTTTGTTACTGGAGAAGACAGCACCAGGTAATCGGAACTGTTCGCCTGTGCAGTGGCTGTAGCCCTTGGGGGTGCCTTTCTCCTACTGATGGAGCCGCAGAGAATTACAGGCAACATTTTATCTTGTGAGGGGGCAGGAAGGTGTCTGTACAGTCTGACGTGCTGTGGTGGAGACCAGCAGCAGATGGGTGAGCCCCTGGGCCCCCCCAGCACAAGGCAGGTCTTAAGGCAGTCGTTAGAAATTACACAGGGCTGAGGGAGGGCTGGCTGGTGCTTTTGCATGCTGATGCAGTTTTTGATAGAAAACTGATTGGATTAAGGTATCTAGTGCAGAATTTTGACTCATGTTCGATTGGAAGCTGTGAAACTGTCCTGGTGTGAGGGTTTTCAGTGAAAACTGCCTTTCTTTGGAGCAGCTAGAGAACAGGCTCGGGGCCTGAAGACCTGCTGACTTGTGTTCCTGGGAAGAGGCGCGTTCGTTCACTGGAGCTTAGACCAAGGCTGCTGTTCCTGGCTGTGTGCGCACTCCATTCTGTCAGACACCCTCGTGTTGTTCTTCTACAGTCGTCTTAAACCTGTTACTGGAGTAAAATGACCCCTGAGGGGCCTATGCTGCAGGTTGCTTTTTTTTCAGCTTCAGAGGCTCTGAAAAAATAGCCAAAAGGTGCTGGAGCCCTGTTTCAGGATGCGTGTCCCGTTGCGTCATTGCAATAACTGCCAACGTGTGAATGTCCTCGTTTTAAATGGTAAGAATGGGCAGGGGGAGGCTGCAGATTCCTGCAGGTCGGGGGCTGGCGTGACATCATTGGCACGGGAGTCGTTTTCCTCAGGCCAGGGTGGGGACCAACCGAGCACGTTGCCAAACTCTTTGCCCCTGTGTGTCGCGTTTTGAGCTGCTAAACTATGTGTGAAGCTATGGTGAGCGCTGAATCGCTGGTTAGTGACAGAGCATGAGTACCTGTAACCCAGAGTTGTCCTTGTCTTTGCTGGCTGTACTGACGTTCGTTTTGCTGAATGTTCCACAGCGTCATGTTGTACAACTCCTAGTTTAAAACTGTTTGCACTTTGTTAATAAAATGAATGTTGAAACCTGGTGTGAAGTTTTAGATGTCTGTGTAAATAACTAAAGGGTAGGGGCTGCCGGGTGCTGCTGCCACGCTCGCCTTGCTCTTAAGTAAGTGCTGAGTTGCTGTAATGCCTGACTGCTTATGGAAGACTTTTTTCCTGCCATACATCTGTCACTTTTTTTCCTGAATTATTCAATGAAAAGCATTTAAATCTCTTGGGGGCTTTTTAAAGCTGTGTTTGTAGAAGCCAGTCAAATGCTTCAATCGCCTGTATTCAAATAGGAATTGAGGATGAGCCACAGTTTTTACCCAAACTTGGTTTTGTATTTCTTGGCTCTGGAGGAAAGGTGCAGCCTGTGCGCAGGTTCTTCCCGCTGCTGGGGACTGTGAGAAGCTGCACCCCCCCGGCAGGGCGGTGTGTTTGCCGTTGTACGGGGCCGCGTGGTGATGGTTATACACAGCTCAGTTAGCGGTAATCATGGATCCTGCCTCTTCACCGCTCACAGATGCTTTACGCTTAGTATGAGGCTCAAAGCTCAAGTGTGTTCTGATGAGTCCCGTGGTCTGGAGTTTGTGTCCAACCTTTGCAGGGACAAAAACAGAGCCAGTACCATTCGTGCTTTGCTTGCCTTGCAGAGAACTTGTTGAAAAATCAGGTGTATGTAAACAAGAGGTGGGGAAAGAGGCTTGGACAACTTATCTAACTTAATTTACAGTGTGTCATAACACCCGTGTCCCCTTCTGGCTGTAAACCAGGCGATAACTACATGGGCCAGTGCTGAACAGCATCATTTTCTCTTACACATCACACAGAGGAAATCTGCTTTCCCCACAGTAAAGAAACTTTGCTCAGATGGCTGTTGCTATCTTTGTTAGCTCTTAAATAACCAGACTATCTTGAAGTGTGGTTTAAGTTACTGTTTTATTAAGATATTGGTAAAACTTCAACAGTTTTTCCTGTATAAACAGCTTTCATAAATAAAATGTGGATGACTAATACATGGTTATAACTAAACTCATAGGTGAGAACAATATTGCAAAGGGCAAGTCCCAACACTGGTAAATGGTTAGCTTGAATTCATTCACTTCCTAAAGAACATGTTAGTTTCATGAACAAGATAATACAGAAAGGTCACCAGGAGCACCCCGTGCAGCAACTGCCACCACACCTGCCTCCCCACACGCGTACTCGTGCAGGAGTAGAAGTACTCGAGGAGATCTCAGCCAGTTTCCCCTGCTCTTGTTCTGAAATGTCTTCCAGAGTGAAGGAGAGAAAAACCAAACAAAACACAATTGTGACATACAAGAGTTGTACTAGACCCTAAGAGGTGGGGTTAATCTTTTCGTTAGCTTCAATGCTGGCAAGTACAGTGCGGTCGCCTGTTCAGCGAGGACTGGAAAAGTCAGAGGTTGTGTTAATGCTTCATTATTACTTATTGCACACGATACAAGGGTAGAAAGTTTTGTTGCTGTTGCGAAAAGGATATGAATTAAAGAAAGATTGCCCTAAATTACAGGCATGAACAAAGCTGCAGTATCCCCTCCGATGGCTTTATGGGACTAGTGCCGAGTGAATGACTTGTGCTAAAAGAGCCCCTAATTTAGACCAATCTTTCTCATTTTTTTTTCCCCCTCAGAACATTGCCAGGGTCGGGAGGATTTCGTGAGGAGAGAGTGGACCTGAACTACAGCAGCCGTGTCTATAAACACAGAACTCATTATGCCTCATCTTATCTGCCCATAGGACAACGCGTTTCTCACTGACACACAGTGTTCCAAAAACAGAGCGGAGTTTCTATGACGATGTACCACTATAAATGTGGCGTTAAGTTAAAGTCTGCTTTGACATTGTCCTTCCGTGTTACAATGCAACCTAAATCAAATACTGAATGGTGTTAACTTGCAAGGACAATTGATGGCACTTCTAGGTAAAGAAAAGTTATATACATGCGTTTCCACCCACCTTTAGTGCAAATCGAAATGGGTTAACAGCTCCCTGGTCTGGTGCTATACTGCTCTCTGCAACGCAGACATTCCTCAGAGTTGCACATTTAAAAAGTGTACACAGGAAACTACCAGCGCGGGGATCGAGTGAATCCCGCCAGTACTCACAGTGAACAGCTTACGAGCGAGTTTTGAGCAGCTTCAGACAAACCGCCTGGAGCCCGGTTCTCAAAACCGACACAATTACAAAATAAAATAAAATAAATGTTTTCACGACCTACCTCCTAGTTCTGCAAGCACGGTTAACACGTAAACTGAAACTGATGCGGGTTGTGTTAACGCGGATAAGGGATACTTCAGCTCTTTATTGGAAAGATTCGTCATACAAATTCCACCACCACTAAGATACACAATAAAAATACAAAACACAGGTCACAGACTGAATCTCAGTATCAACGGTTAATAAATACAGTTAGATACTTCTCTATTTGCCTAATATTTTTACATTGTCACCAGATAGACAATCAAAGTACGAGATACAGAACACTTAGATACCGTTAGAGAGGGATTATTGCTTACGTTAGCAAGCAGCAAATAAGGGCACAGGATTTTGAACTGAAGAGAACTACTTCCTATCACCAGTGGCGTTAAAACACTGCATTTCACAAAGCACTGCTTTTTTGTCTAGTGTGTAGAATCAAGAGCAGCATATATCAGACCAATAACCACTACTTTTAATATTATAGAACTTTAAAGGACTTACCTTACAAATGGTTCCTATCTACTCTATAAATATGCATTTAGTGAAGAAATGAACACTTGCTAGCTATACAATGTTTTTACCTGACCACACTGGAACTACAATGGTAGATTTTTATTTTTTTTTTTCTCCTAGCGAGATAAATGATACGAGTCGCTGAATCATCATTTACGAATCCACACCTAAAAACCTAGATCCTTCCCAAAACAGCACACATGCAGCCCAGTGCTCTTCAACTGCTCCTGCAGACCGGGAAGAAGTTTTATCATCCAGAACAGCGTTTCAGTCTAACTGACTCACACAAGGAATTGCACTTGCACCAACTTTCTCTCCGAAGCACGACAGCCAGCTATACAATGGACTTTCAGTGCGTCATTATTACTGTGAATAATTGAAAACAAAGGCACCGCAGAGATGCCTGGAGTTGCATATTTCACCGTTTCATGGTTTCTCAAATTTCCTCAGTAAATCTAACTTGGAACATACGCTGCAGCTAAAGAGAACGTTGACAACAGCTAAGGCTTAATAAGATGACAGATAAGAGCCAATGATCCCGTAAGATAAAGAAAAAAATAATCTGAAAAAGATCAAAGGAATCTAAAGCCCCGCTCCAACTCCTGGTTACTCACAAAGCCTTTTGCTATTCATCAGATTGCTTTTAAAATAGTGCATCAAAGATAGAAGCAGCGGAAATTGGCAGAATTCAGACCTTGCCATCTTGTTGTGTTGAATAATCTCCTGACTACTTAATATTGAAATACTTCGCAAATTCTAGCTAAATACTAATACTGTTACTAAATTGTTACTGCTAAATCAATATGAATTGTACAAGAAACTCTACGAAGACTTAACTTTACTCATAGTCTTCCAAAGGTCCTGCTGTGACAAAGAATTGTAACGCGGTGTGTATTTAATGGAGCTGACGGGGATCGTCTGCTTGCCTACCTCCCAATTAACCGCTCCCCTGTGGGCTTCACATCCCCTCAAGAGCAGGGCAGGGCCTGTTTGTTTCCCGGTTTGATAAATAACACTCTGCTTATGAAAACAGGGGCAGCTGACATTCCTCACTGCCCTTTTTGATGCCAGATCTAACCAAAGCAGAGGTCTGCCTTGTCAGGGATTTTTACCCTGTCCACTAAACCCTGAGCACAGCCCCTGCTCACCTCCCGCGCCTTTCCCGCCGGCTCCGGCTTGCTCCGGCAGCCCGGCATCCGTCCCTGCGCCCGCTGGAAACACCAAACGGCAGCAGCAACGCTCCTT